CCTGGGAGCTTGGAGGAGTTCTGCTGCCGTCCCAGGTCTCCACCCGGCAAGGCGTGCCTCTCTGTGCAGCCCGTGGGCAAGTGAGAACAGGGATTATGAGACCATTCCTTCACATATGATGGCAGCGATCGATACAGGAAGCTGTGTTATCAGTCTCCCTGGGTGTGTGTGATTGAGTCCAGGGGAACCTTTAGGACAAAGTTTAATTCTGGGTATAAGCTTTCATGTGCATGCACATGAAAGCTTATAACCAGAATTAAACTTTGTTGTTCTTAAAGATGTCACTGGACTCAAAATTTGTTCTATTGATTCAGACCAACACAGCTACCCATCTGTGTATGTGTCTGTGTGTGTGTGTGAGAGAGAGAGAGAAAATTAGTTAGTTTAAAGGGAAATGAAGGCAAGTGAGTGTGTGAAATTGACCGTAGTGGATTGGGTGGGAGAGAGGACTAACTCTCTGCTGGTGGAGTCGACTGCTCGTTTGTGAACCAAATTGCCACCACCTCTTCCAGTTTCCTTCCCACTCATAAAATGGAGGAAAGTACAAGAAGGAAAACAACGTCATGCAGGTGGATGCATTGTCTTGAGCTTCGTTACAAGCTGTAATTCAGCAGTCTCTCTCAGTTTACAAAAGAATTTCAAAGGGAGATTAGAAACTCCTGAATTACAACTGGTAACTAAGCTCAAGACAATGCATCCACCTGGACTGAATCAAGACCTAGGTTTCCTGTCTCATTACCAGTGCTGATTTCTCCATACCTACTACCTCTTTGCATATCACACCTAATCCAATCACACCTGCTATTGCCATTTGCCTTGCTAATGTCATTTGGCATCTGAAATCACTCCACTTTCCAATATATAGGACAGATGGCCTCACATTCTAGCTGTATCTGAAGACGTGAGCAATGACTCCTGAAAGCTCATACCCCTACCACAAATTTTGTTAGCCTTTAAGGTGCTACTGGACTCTTTTCTACTGCTACAGACAGACTAACCCGGCTACCCATCTTGACTGTTGATGATTAGTTAGGGATAAAATTTATATATGCATTAGGGTTGCATGTTCTGGGTTGGAAAATACCTGAAGACTTTGGGGGTGGATCCAGGAGGGAGTGGGGTTTGCGGAGGGATTTCAGCATGGTACAATGCCATAGAGTCCACCCTTCAAAACAGCCATTTTCTCCAGGGGAGCTGATCCCTGTCAGCTGGAGATCAGTTGTAAAAGCGGGAGATCTCCAGGTCCCACCTGGAGGTTGGCAACCCTACTATGCACCTGGGGGGTTGTAAGAGATCTGAAGGATATTGATGGCTGAAGGCCTCTTCAGAAATTTCTATTGTCGTGAACTCCCCCAAATGGTCCGAAATTCCATGGGCAGAGCCAGTTTGGTGTAGTGGTCAAGAGCGTGGACTCTAATCTGGGAGAACCGGGTTTGATTCCCCACTCCTCCACTTGCACCTGGCTGGATGACCTTGGGCAAGCCGTAGTTCTGATAAGAGCTGTTCTTGAAAAAAGAGCAGTTTCTATCAGAGCTCTCTCAGTCCCACACAGGGTGTCTGTTGTTGGGAGGGGAAGGGAAAGGAGTTTGTAAGCCGCTCTGAAATTCCTTTGGGTAGTGAAGGGCAGGGTATAAATCCAATCTTTCTTCTTCTTCTTCTTCTTCTTCTTCTTCTTCTTCTTCTTCTTCTTCTTCTTCTTCTTCTTCTTCTTCTTCTTCTTCTTCTTCTTCTTCTTCTTCCTCTTCCTCTTCTTCTTCCTCTTCCTCTTCTTCCTCTTCCTCTTCCTCTTCCTCCGCCTCCACCAGGTTTGGTTTGGTCTGAATGGGAGAAAGTCCTAGAGGCTTTGGGGCACTTACTTTGCTGACATGGGGTCGGGGCAGAGAGGCCTTCTCCAAGGCAGCAGATATCCCTATCAGAACGTGATGTTCCTATCAGAACAAGGTGCTTCTCCTTCTGCCAAGTCACAGCTTGTCCTCCCTTGGTGCCAAAACTCCCAAACGGCTGTTTCTTCTCATACACAACCCTACTCCACCCCCACCCAGCCACCCATACAGGAAAGATTTGCTTCTCCAAGCTGTCATTCAAGCTTATCAGACCTTTTCATAACAATTCTGTTCCTGTTGAAGAAACATCCCCAGCAAGGACTGCTGAAGGCCTCAGCGCGCCCCAGCAAATTTTTTTACCTCCCCAATGGAGAATAAACTGTATGTCTTGTAGGGTTGCCAAGTTGATTTTTCCTACCGGCGGGGGAGCCTTGCTGGGCTCCGGGAGGTCTCCATTGATGCGCGCGCACAAAGCGTGTGCGCCCCGCCAGCACGTCACCGGAAGTGAAACGCGACATTGAACACGTCGAAAACGTCGAACACGAACCATAGAGTTTTCCCTTCGACGATCGGGGCCACGCCCCCAACGTGATCAACGTGGTTGCGTCACCTCTGGTGACGCAGCCACGCTGCACTTCGGGGGGTGGAGTTCCCCCGGGGCCCAATTCCGCCGGGGCGGAAATCGGGCCTCCAAAGCGGGGCTTTACTCGCCACTCGCCCCCACTTGGCAGCCCTAATGTCTTGCCTGGCTCCATGGATCCCAGGATGACAGGGCCCCTGGTATTTTGTTCCCCCGTGTCATTTTTTCAGAAGAAACTCCTCTTTTTTTGAGGACTGGTCTCTAAAACATTCCGCTTCGACTTCTGTCCAGTAAAAGCAGATGAGGTGGCTCTGGAGGCTAGATCCCTGAACAACTGCAAAGTACCGAGAGCTACCTACAGAGTGAAGATGGGCTGCTAAAGTGTTTGAGGTGGGTGTTTGAGGTGAATTAGAGAGGAGCCATAGGAACGGAAAACAGGAGGGGCCTTCCAAAGTTCCCCATCCACAGTTAGCACCTAAAGAGATTTTATTTCTATTTAAATTGTAGTAATTATAGGTTCATTGAGAGGAGGAGGAGATTGGATTTATCCCCTGCCCTTCACTACCCAAAGGAGTCTCAGAGCAGTTTACAATCCCTTCCCCTTCCCCTCCCCACAACAGACACCTTTTACCTCCCCAATGGAGAATAAACTGTATGTCTTGTAGGGTTGCCAAGTTGATTTTTCCTACCGGCGGGGGAGCCTTGCTGGGCTCCGGGAGGTCTCCGTTGATGCGCGCACACGAAGCGTGTGCACCCCGCCAGCACGTCACCATAAGTGACGCGCGACATTGAACACGTCGAACACGAACCATAGAGTTTTCCCTTCGACGATCGGGGCCATGCCCCCAACGTGATCAACGTGGTTGCGTCACCTCTGGTGACGCAGCCACGCTGCACTTCGGGGGGTGGAGTTCCCCCCGGGCCCCGATTCCACCGGGGCGGAAATCGAGCCTCCAAAGCGGGGGTTTACTCGCCACCCGCCCCCACTTGGCAGCCCTAATGTCTTGCCTGGCTCCATGGATCCCAGGATGACAGGGCCCCTGGTATTTTGTTCCCCCGTGTCATTTTTTCAGAAGAAACTCCTCTTTTTTTGAGGACTGGTCTCTAAAACATTCCGCTTCGACTTCTGTCCAGTAAAAGCAGATGAGGTGGCTCTGGAGGCTAGATCCCTGAACAACTGCAAAGTACCGAGAGCTACCTACAGAGTGAAGATGGGCTGCTAAAGTGTTTGAGGTGGGTGTTTGAGGTGAATTAGAGAGGAGCCATAGGAACGGAAAACAGGAGGGGCCTTCCAAAGTTCCCCATCCACAGTTAGCACCTAAAGAGATTTTATTTCTATTTAAATTGTAGTAATTATAGGTTCATTGAGAGGAGGAGGAGATTGGATTTATCCCCTGCCCTTCACTACCCAAAGGAGTCTCAGAGCAGTTTACAATCCCTTCCCCTTCCCCTCCCCACAACAGACACCCTGTGAGGTAAGTGGGGCTGAGAGAGCTCTCTCGAGGACTACCCTTGAGAGAACAGCTCTGAAAGAACTAATGACTGGCTCAAGGTCACACCAGCAGCTGCATGTGGAGGCGTGGGGAATCAACCTCGATTCTCCCAGAGTAGAGTCTGCGCTCTTAATCACTATACTACAGCAAACTTTGCATCTGTGAGTATAAATCAGCATATGCAAAGATTTCTGTTTTAAATAAATAAAACATTTATTAGCTGCCTTTCTGCCTTATGGAGCTCAAGGCAGCGTACAATGTAAATAGAACAAAGAACATGTTTTGATTTTTTTTGGTCATTTAATTAATTAAGACATTTATATCCCACTTTTCTTTTTGAGAGCCAGTTTGGCGTAGCGGTTAGGAGCGTGGACTCTAATCAGGGAGAACCGGGTTTGATTCCCCACTTCTCCATTTGCAGCTGCTGGTGTGACCTCGGGTCAGTCGCAAGTTCTCTCAGAGCTGTTCTCTCAAGGGCAGTTCTCGGGAGAGCTCTCTCAGCCCCACCTACCTCAACAGGGTCTTTGTTGTGGGGGAGGGGAAGGGAAAGGAGATGGTAAGCCGCTCTGAGACTCCTGAGGGTAGTGAAAGGCAGGGTATAAATCCAATCTCTTCTCTTCTCTCTCTCTCTTTCTCTCCAATGTGGAACAACATCGTTCACCCCTGCCTTTTCCCATTTTTATCCTCACAACGTCACTTGGAGGTAGGTCAGCCTGAGAGAGTGACTAGTCCCAGGTCATCCAGCCAGCTTCCATGCCAGAGTGGGGATTCGAACGTGGGTCTCCTAGATCCTAGTCTAACATTCTAATCACTGCACTACGCTACGCCACAATAGCTCTCATCTGTAAATGGTCATCTTCAGCTCCCCCCCCCCCCGCGCAGTTGTTAAGGAACATGAACATTATTTTGCCCTCTGCCCTGGCTCCACCGTGAAGAACCCTTCTCAATCAGATTGCCCTCTTGCCTCAATACTTTGGTCTGAGCGGAAGATGTCTTGGCATTGCCTCAAGCGGGATGTGTATTTAAGCATTCCTGACAGCCAGTGTTTTGTTTGACAGGTTCTACGTGTGTATCTCTCCTACCTGATGAAGCTGGCCACCTTGATGGGGGGGCAGATGGGTGTGACTTCCAGCTACGTCTCCCTGGCACTGTCTTTCATTTCCAACCTCCAGAAGGCAGTCACCCCACTCGAGGAGAGACAGGAGAGAAGAATGCTATTCTACCGCACCACCATCGGAAAGCTGCAGGTACGTATCTTCGGGTCTATAGCTGCGGAGGGAGAAGCAAATATAACCTGCTTATCCTGGACAAACTGTTAAAGTGGATAAGGCCTCCCTGGTTCTGGGCCAGCCGGCCTCATAGGGGCACTGTGAAGAGGAAATGGCTGGCGGGAAATAGTGGCGGAATCTGCATTTGTCTTTCCCGCCAGCGTCCCAGCCTTTTGACTCCGTCATCCATCCAAATGCTAGCCAAGACAGACCCTGCTTCGCTTCCGAGATCCGACAGGATCGGGCTAACCTGGGCTATCCAGGTTGGGGCTCCCGCCACCACAAATGACGTGCAACGAGGATGAGAACACCCCTTGCTGCTTCTTCCTAAGAGGCATTCTATAATCGCTGGACTTCTTTCTTTCACGATTTCATTCTGCTCGCTTTTAACATTAGGAGGAGGCTCCCGCGATTGACTGGCTGGCAGGTCTCCAGGCCGCTTTCCATCCAGTGCGGCTGAACGCGTCTCAGCCAATTGCTGTGCATGACATGGATTATTTGAGAGGCATGTCACATCTGATTGGAGAGTGGCCGAAGAGGTGGGTGTTGGGGGAATGGCATTTTAGGGTACTAAAATGGCAATGGGGTACCTGCACTGACCGACCACACACCTGGAGGACGAGGAAGACAGAGGTTACATCATTCCGTTCTCGTCACACGGGCTGCTTTGACATCACAGTGACAAATCCAACCATTCAAGGTTTGGTTCGGTCCTGTCAACCCATTCTCCTTTTTACACCATCCATCCCACCTTTGGCAGTGACACAGGTCATCGTATCCCCAAATACCAAAACATCTCATTTTAGAGGTTACATCATTCCGTTCTCGTCACATGGGCTGCTTTGACATCACAGTGACAAATTCAACCATTCAAGGTTTGGTTCGGTCCTGTTAACCCATTCTCCTTTTTACACCATCCACCCCACCTTTGGCAGTGACACAGGTCATTGTATCCCCAAATACCAAAACATCTCATTTCCATCCTTTGTCCACGAACAGCAGCACTGAGCGTGACACGCCCCGTGTCTCGCTCAGGGCTGCTGTTTGTGGACAAAGAATGGAAATGAGATGTTTCACGCGTGCTGGATGATGCACTTTCAATCCATTTGCAATGCACTTTAGGCCCATTATGCACTGGTGTCTCCCCTCAGTTTCGCCGTGCGTGTCTGTTGGGTTTTCTGTATTGTTCCGCATTCCCATTGCTTTCACTGTGCATGTCCATCGGGTATGCCCCCCCCGCCCCCGGTCCTGCATTGTTTTCTTCCCTTCAGCACTCAGTTCGTTTTCCGATCGCTCTTTCCCGGGGTTTTCTGAGAGTGCTTTTGTGCCAGTCTTTCCCCTTACTTTGCTTCAAAGCTGAAGGTAATCCTAAAGCATACACATTCCCTCAGATTGCCCCGCACACACACCCTTTTCCTGCCCCTCGGAGGCCAGCCCACTGCCCACACTGAGGTCCTTCTGCCCACCCTGCAACTTCCGCTATCCTCCCCACTGCATCGGCATACAAGCTCGGTTTCCCCCTCATTTATCATTTATATTTTTATTTACTCACTCTGTGCTCACAGGAGCCACCCGGGAGCTCCAGTCCCACAGCATCTCTTTCCCACCCAATTGGGAAGCCGTGGCTTCCAAGGCCCCTGCATCAGGCCCACACTGTCGCCCGAGGAAAGGGGCCGAGGGAAAAGGGCAGTTTTCTGCTTGGGAACCTCAGCAGCTGCTCTCTGGTTGGCTGCCTCTGCCGCCTGCCTGCTCCCTGACCCCAGGTGCCCTCAGCGGGATCCTGCTGGATCCTGCAGCGCCTCCCATCACCCCGTCATTGGGGCATGGTGGCAGCCAAAGTTCCCTCTAAGCTGTGGAGTCTTGTGAGCAAAAATTCTACTTTGTGAGCTACTGGCATTAAAGTTGTGAGCAAGCAATTTGGCTGCTGCATTAAATTAGTTTGGTCTGGAGCCCTCCTTCCTGAGCTAAGACCAAAAGGTGTGAGCTGGAGGCTAAAAAACTGTGAGCTAGCTCACACTAACTCAGCTTAGAGGGAACACTGGCAGCGGCTGCCCAGGACCCAAGAAGCCTTCCACGTTGGTGGTGGGAGGTGGTGGCAGTGGCAGGCACAGAGGAGTGAGTGGTGGAACGGGGATGGACAAACAAACAAAGTAAAGGGGGGGGATCATCGGCACCAGTGTTCCCTCTAAGCCGAGTTAGTGTGCGCTAGCTCACAGTTTGTTAGCCACCAGCTCACAGATTATTGTCTTAGCGCAGGAAGGGATGGCTCCAGAGCAAACTGATTTATGCAGCAGCCAAATGGCTCGCTCACAACTTTAATGCCAGTCGCTCACAAAGTAGGATTTTTGCTCACAAGACTCCACAGCTTAGAGGGAGCATTGAAGCACTGAATGAAACTGGCATTACATGTAAAGACGGGGAGAGACTGGGATGGAAAAGCCTTGAAAACATTTTTCCATTTAATACTTTAGTGGACAAATTTGCGGGGGGGGGGCGGTGGGAGGGGGCGGGGGACCATTTTGGCAGTCTCCAGAAGCTTACCATTACAATGGCGCCTCCTTGTTTTAATTTAAAAAAACAAACAAAATTGGACGCTCCTTCTCCCATGTCACAAGTGAAATTCCCACTCCAATGAAGAATAACTGCAGTTTTGGGTAGTAGGTGCAGAATAAATGCGCAGAATACACCAGATAAAAAAAGGATGGCGTGAACGGCAGGTAAACACATCCAAAGCCGAGCTTAAAGGCTTGACTGGTGGTGGGATTCTCCGCAGTGAGCTGTGCGTGCAGAATGGGCCTTAGCAATCGCTTGCAAGCGGATGTTCCCATGTCACGCCCTAAAGTCCAGTTTCAAAGTGCATTGGAAGTGGATGGATAGTGCATTATTCAGTGTGTGTCAAAGCACTCATTCTCAGAATGAAGGAGGAAGGATTCCAGGGCAGATGTTAAGGGGATCCAAGCCAAGCATCTTCCTATGATGGAGGCAGCTGTTTCCACATAGGTGCTCCTTGCAGACAGTGAGACAATGCCTCCTTTAGACTGTTCTAAAGAACCTCCTTCTCCAATAAGTTTGCTTTGGAAAAGAGATGCTTGCCGGAAAGAAGGAAATGGCACCAGGAAACACCTTGGTGGTTTCCATTGAGGATTCACATTGAGGATTCAATGGTTTAAGCCAAATCAAAGTCTTGAAGGATACCCATCGGTTCCGTGATCATGAGTATATCTCATGAACCGAGGAGAGAGGGAGGGAGGGGCAGAATGTGGGGAACTGACATCATGTCGATGGCCATGCTGTAGGGTTCAAACAAAACTCCATGGTAAAACTGAATACTAGAGTGTTGTGTTGGTGTGACCTCCAAGTATTTGTCAGAAGTGATTTCATGCTGTTGGTGGGGGGTTTTTTACAACCCCCCCTCTCCCACCAAAGAGGGAGGCTGAAGCAGGAGACCTGGGTCGAATCTGCATTTATCTTTCCCACCGGTGTCCCAGCCTTCTGACTCCGTCTTCAAAAAAGCTGTCTACAATTGCTGTCGTTTTCACACCTCAAGAGTGCCAGCACACTTTTGCACGTCTGCATATGTTTATTGCCCTTTCATGGCGGCTCAACTGTCTCTGCACCCCCACACTGCTTTAAAAGAATCTTCTCCAAACAACATTGGTCAAATCTGCATTTGCATTTTTAAATCAGTTCCGTGCTGCTGTGACGCCGTCTTTCTCTATGCCTGTTTGAACGTTGTTTGGAGAAGATTCTTTTAAAGCAGTGCAGAGGTGCAATGACGGTGGAGCCGCCACGAAAGGCCAATAGACATATGCGGACATGCAAAAGTATGCTAGCACTGTCGAGGTGTGAAAACGACACCAAATGTAGACGGCTTTTTTAAAGACGGCATCAGAAGGCTGGGACCCCGGTGGGAAAGACAAATGCAGATTCGACCGTTCAAACAAGCATAGAGAAAGACGGCGTCACAGCAGGACGGAGCTGATTTAAAAATGCAAATGCAGATTCGACCCTGGTCTCACTAACTGAGGAGGCAGAGCTTAAAAACAGAGCCTCTCCACTTCATTGCCTCTGTGAAAGGGTGATATGTCTTTTGCGGTTTGTGTTTGGATGAAGTCCCTTTGGGCAACTTGGAACTTGTTCTCCATAACATCCTGTTAAAAATAAATAACGGCCTCTTCTTCTTTTTCCCTTGTTATTACAAATCTATCTCTTAATCTTTCCGGCAGGGATAGCCTACAGATCTACATGATACTCTGCCTGGTCGGGAATATGTCCCCTGCCTTGGACAGACGGTTCCAAGAAGCTCGGCAGGAACTGGCAGATAAACTAACTGGCAAGACGACGGAGCCGGAGATGGTGACCCTGCTTCTCTTCAGCTCCCTCATTTCCCCTTCCCGTGTGGGGAGGGAGGTGTTCACTGTTCTCTTGCATAATCTGGGCTCTTTTTGTAGCAGGAACTCCTTTGCATATTAGGCCACACACCCCTAATGTAGCCAATCCTCCAAGAGCTTACAGAGCTCTTCTTACAGGAGCTACTGTAAGCTCTTGGAGGATTGGCTACATTGGGGGTGTGTCGCTTAATATGCAAAGGAGTTCCTGCTACAAAAAGAGCCCTAATTCTCAACTCAGATGCCAGCCTCCAGGGGGGACCTGGGGATCCCCCATCATTCCAGCTCCTCTCCAGACTACAGAGATCAGTCCCCCTGGAGAAAATGGATGCTTTGGAGGGTGGACTCTGTGGTACTGTACCCCCCCTGAGGTCTCTGTCCTCCCCAGGCTCCATCTCCGAATCTCCAGGAGTTTCCCAACCCTACCCCCCCAATCCCCTGACAATGGCCAGGGGGGACCTGGCAGCCCTAACTCTGGGTTGAAAATCCCTGGAGACTTGGGGAGGGTCTGGTAGAGTTCCCAGTCTCCAGGTCTGGGCGGGGATCACCCAGTTTTGGGGGCTTCTGCCTCCTGCCAGCCCAGTGGCCGGCAGGGGAAACTCCACCCTCAAACCGTGATGCTGTCACACAACATCCCCAACATGATTACATCACATTGCGTCGGGGACGTTGTGCAACGACACTCTGGTTTGGGGGCAAAACTCTACCGTTTGAAGCCGGTTTCGCCATAGAGTTTTGCCCCACAACCAGAGCGTTGCTCCTGACATCACCAATGTGATGACATCACTTCCAGGTGACATCAGCATGTTGCATGACATCCTGCCCACCCCCAGAACCCCCCCCCCCAAATCCCCCTGCCGGTGCAACGAGGGGACCTGGCAACCAATGTTCCCTCTAAGCTGTGGAGTCTTATGAGCAAAAATTCTACTTTGTGAGCTACTGGCATTAAAGTTGTGAGCGAGCGATTCGGCTGCTGCATAAATCCGTTTGCTCTGGAGCCCTCCTTCCTGAGCTGAGACAAAAAGGTGTGAGCCGGAGGCTAGGAAACTGTGAGCTAGCTCACACTAACTGAGCTTAGAGGGAACGCTGCTGGCAACCCTTGGGTCTGGGTATGGTCTGGGAGGGTGGAGATTGGAGAGGGGAGAATGCTCAGCAGGGGATGTGATGCCCTCCTGGGAAATTGATCTCGATAGTCGGGAGATCACTTCTAATTCCAGGAGAACTCTAGCTCCAGCCTGAAGATTGGGGACCCTACTTACACACTTCCATTGGATTCATTGGGCCCTGGCGTTGTCGGTCGGGAACTGGCCTTAGCGAAGTTTAGATGGGCAAGTAAGGTTTGCCAGACGCTCGGCAGGAGACCGGGGAGGCGGGGATTTATGGTTGGGGGAGCAATTAGTCTCCCCAATGAAATGACACCATCATACTGTGGAGAGTGATCACCTCCCCATTTCTCCAGGGAACATCCTCCCGCCGCCCAGCTGAGCAGTAATGGGCAATGGCAGCAGGAGTCAGGAGGTTTCCCACTGAACTGGGAGATCTGGCGACCATTTTGGCCAGGACAGATGTGGGAGAACTGTTTGTGCTATATCCCCAAATGTTGGAATGCCCTAACTTCGGAACAGAAAGTGGCACTTTCTATCTAGAAGAAGAAGAGATTGGATCTATACCCCGCCCTTCACTACCCAAAAGAGTCTCAGAGTGGCTTACAAACTCCTTCCCCTTCCCCTCCCCACAACAGACACCCTGTGAGGCGGGTGGGCTGAAAGAGCTCTGACAGAAACTGCTCTTTTTTCAAGAACAGCTCTTATCAGAACTACGGCTTGTCCAAGGTCATCCAGCCAGGTACGAGTGGAGTGGGGAATCAAACCCGGTTCTCCCAGATTAGAGTCCGCGCACTTGACCACTAGGCCTTCCACACAGGGTTCAAAACCTTTCTGTCCCAGCAGGCCTTCCACATGGGTTAAGGTGGGAAGACCTGTTTGTTAAATATCCATGTTTATAAATGATCTTTGCAGATTTTCTTTCTGAGTATTTGTGTCTGTGTGTGTGTGCCTGGATGTCATGGTTGACATCTGGCGACCTCTCGTGAGCTTGGCCATTTCAGAGAGGTGGCTTGCTGTTGCCTGCCCCTGTGTCCCAGCCCTGGTATTCCAAGGAGGTCTCCCATCCAAGTACTTGCCAGGGTCGGCCCTGCTTAGCTTCCGAGATCAGATGAGATTGGGCTTGCCTGGGCTATCCAGGTCAGGGCTATCTTTGCATATTCTTTGAGCCGTTGAGTTCTTTTCTTTAATTGCAGCTTTATAGATGGTGATTTTCACGAATTTTATAATATAATATTGATGGTTTGATGGGGGTGGGGTAATATTTGAACACTGCAATGAGTGCCAGTATAGTGGAAGAGCAGGTTGTAAATGCAATAAGTCAGTCAACTGGTACTTATTCAGGAGAACGTCCCTGTGATTTGCGCCTAGTATTACTTCATTTTTTTCCCTTTCTTCCTTCCCAGGTCAGAAATGAGCGTTGGAGGAAATGCCTGAGTGAGACCAGTACATTCTTTGGTCCTGTACTTGGAGAGATGATTGTGCGAGAGATTTTCCCCCAGAAGGCCAAGGATCTCGTAGGTATTCAATGACGCCAGACACAAATTCATTTCCCTCTCACTCTCCCTTTGTCGTCCTCCTCAACTAATATCCTGTTACATGTGATGTAATTAATGAATTGATTATTATCGTATGGCAGGAGAACCTAAGATTGTCTGGCGGCCAAAAGCTCTAGCTCTTTTAGCATAATGCACCACTAGGTGGTGAGCTAGACTTGTTTTTAAGGCAGGAGACGTTACAGAGGTGGTTTGCCATCACCTGCCTCTGCATTGCAAGGCCATGCCTTACTCCATTTGAGACTCGTTAATAAGTTTATGTTTTTACCAAACTTTCTGCCTTGCAAGCTTAAACTGCTTTTCATGACGTTCCGATAAACTCTATTTTTATCCTAAGAGGAGGGTCACCATCAGTTCTAATTAATGGGTGATTACATTTTTTTCTAAATTTATGTATGTGTTGTACAGTTTATTGCAATGTGAAAAAGGGCCTACGTAGTTGTTTTTACTGAGATGAAAATCTGTGTCTGGATTATACCAATTCTGGCTAAAAGTAAGTTCTGATGCGATAGGATATGTCTCCATTCAAGAGTATCGCCCTGTGAGTAGAAAACAGACATGTTCATGGCTCTTAACCCATCAGCCAGGCCAGTGGATCCAGGACTAGCTCAAGACTGATGATTCAAATTGTATTTTTGCATTTTGTTAGCCAGTTTGAGTTCTGATTGGGGAAAGACCAAGGTAAAAAAAATACTTTAGTGACTCAGATACAACAGCCCACCACCAATACCTTTCTATTAGGATATTTGGTGGGATCCCGACTAAATTTTCCACTAATGGCATGGGTGGGGTAGCTTCCCACCAATTCCCTCTTAAGAACATAAGAAGAGCCCTGCTGGATCAGACCAGTGGTCCATCTGTCTAGCACCTAGTGGCCATCCAGTTCCCCTGGAAGTCCAAAAACAGTGCATAGAGGCCAAGGCTTCCCCCTGTTGCCTTCCAGCACTGACATTCAGAGGCTTAGTGCCTCTGAACGTGGAGGTTCTCTTCAGTCACCATGGGTAGTAGCCACTGATAGACCTATCCTCCATGAATCTATCTAACCCCCTTTTAAAGCTGTTGTGCCTGTGGCCATCACTACATCCTCTGGCAGAGAATTCTACATTTTAATCACTCATAGTGGAAAGAAGCATTTCCTTTTCTCCGTCCTGAATCGAACGAACCTCTTCCTGCTGCAGCAACCCTCCCCCTGATTGTGTCTCATGCTGTTCCTGAGGGTCCACTGTCCCTCACAAGCACCATTTTGGGAGATTAGTGGGCCTGTAGTGTGTGTGTTTGGGGGGAGACATTCCATTCCCCTGACAACAGTGCCTTAGGTGAGCAGTACATAAGAACATAAGAACAAAAGAGAAGCCCCACTGTTGACCCCCCCCCCAAGCACCAAGAAGACAGAGCATCACTTGCCCCAGAGCCCCTAGCTATACCTTGTGGCTAATAGCCACTGATGGACCTCTGCTCCATATGCTTATCTAATTCCCTTTTGAAGCCGTCCATGCTTGTAGCACCCACCACTTCCTGTGGCAGTGAATTCCATGTGTTAATCACTCTTTGGGTGAAGAAGTACTTCCTTTTATCCGTTCTAACCCGACCGCTCAGCAATTTCATGGAGTGCCCACGGGTTCTTGTATTGTGAGAAAGGGAGAAAAGTACCTCTTTCTTTACCTGCTCTTTCCCATGCATAATCTTATAAACCTCGATCATGTCACCCCTCAGTCGTCTTTTCTCCAAGCTAAAGAGCCCTAAGCGCTTTAACCTTTCCTCATAGGGAAAGTGTTCCAACCCTTTTATCATTCGAGTTGCCCTTTTCTGCACTTTTTCCAAAGCTATAATATCCTTTTTAAGGTGTGGTGACCAGAACTGCACACAGTATTCCAAATGAGGTTGCACCATGGATTTATAGAGGGGCATTATGATATTGGCTGATCTGCTTTCAATACCCTTCCTAATAATCCCCAGCATAGCATTGGCCTTTTTTGTTGCAGTCACACACTGTCTCGACATTTTCAGTGAATTATCCACTACGACTCCAAGATCTCTCTCTTGTTCAGTCTCTGCCAGTTCAGACCCCATCAATGTGTTAAATTTAGTCTGGATCCATCCCATTGAATCAGAGATGAAACTCATAACTGAATGAATTCTTCTCATGGAAAGAACAATCTCGGGCTGGTTTGTGGGAGGTAGACGGGAGTTATTTTCATACATTGATTTATGTGGTAGGCTGAAGCACCACACACCATGATACTCTCCTCTTTTCTTCTCACCAGGTGTCACAGCATTTCCAAGAAAGTGACTGCTCATCTCCTTAAAGCTTCCACCTTGAGTCTCAGCCAGGGAGGCTGTTTAATTAATATTGGGGATCTCTCTCCCTCTCTTTTCTCCTTTCCAGGCTGAGCAGATGTTCTCTGAGATCCGAGATGCCATCCACAGCCAACTGGATCAAGTGGAGTGGATGGACAGCCAGTCTCGCCAAGAGGCCAAGGAGAAAGTATGCATCATGTATAACATGGGGTTGGGGAGTTCCTGGAGAGTTTGGGGGTGGACCCTAGGGAGGGCAGAGTTTGGGGACGGGAGGGAAAGATCTCATTGGGTGTAGGGAGGACGCCAGTTTGGTGTCGTGGTTAAGTGCGCGGACTCTAATCTGGGAGAACCGGGTTTGATTCCCCCCCCCTCCACTTGCACCTGGCCGGATGGCCTTGGACAAGCCGTAGTTCTGATAAGAACTGTTCTTGAAAAAGAGCAGTTTCTGTCAAGAGCTCTCTCAGCCCCACCTACCTCACAGGGTGTCTGTTGTGGGGAGGGGAAGGGAAAGGAGATTGGAAGCTGCTCTGAGACTCCTTTGGGTAGTGAAGGGCGGGGTATAAATCCAATCTCTTCTTCTCTTCTTCTTCTTTAATGCCATTCTCTCCAGGGGAACTGATCTTAGTTGTCTGGTGATCAGTTACAGCTCCTGGAGATGCCCAGGCTCCACCTGGAGGTTGGGAACCCTAAGGTATCTACGAGTGGCTATCAGAACCAGGTTGAAGGATGCGCAGTCATACCTAAATCTAAACCCAGAGAATATATTTCCCGGTTCAGCATCCTTGCCTTGACTGTGGCTGATAGCAGTGGCTTCCATCTGTTCAGTGTAATTATGAGCAGAGTTACACCCTTCTAAGCCCATTGACCTCAGTAGACTTTTAGGTAAAGGTAAAGGTTCCCTTGCTCGAAAGCCAGTCGAGTCCGACTCTAGGGTTGCGGTGCTCATCTCCGTTTCAAAGCCGAAGAGCCAGCGCTGTCCGAAGACGTTTCCGTGGTCATGTGGCCGGCATGACTAAACACCAAGGCACACGGAACGCTGTTCCCTTCCCACCAAAGTGGTACCTATTCATCTACTTGCAATTTCTTGCTTTCGAACTGCTAGGTTGGCAGGAGCTGGAACTAGAGTCTTGTGAGCTCACTCCGTCATGCGGCAACTCAGGTCTCGAACTGCTGAACTACTGACCTTCCACAGTCTGCAGTTCAGTGTCTTAACCACTTGAGCCAAGAGTAAATCTGTTTAGAATTGTACTGGTAGTACGGCAGTGAGAAGGCAGCTGTTTGCTGACTGCTTAAGGGCAAGGTCTGTAGGGTCTCAACGGATGGGTGTGGCATATCGGTATGATTACTTTAAGAACAACTCCCAGAGGCTCTCTAGAAGGGAGAGGATCAGGTCTTGTGACCATAACTAGAGGAGGAGTTAGAGTTACTGAGGCCTTAGGGTTGCCATTTGCCCGGTGGGGGCGGGGGATTCCCCAATTTTGCGGGCTCCTGCCTGCCGCCGGTCAGCGGAAGGGAACCCCCCCCCAAAAAAAACAGCAACGTTGCACACAATGTGCCTACATCCCCCGGAAGGGACACTCTGGATTTTGGGCAAAACTCTATGGTTTGATGCTGATTTTACCATAGAGTTTTGCCCAAAATCCAGAGCAATGTTACAGATGTACCTATGTAACTTCTGAGTAATACAGGCATGTTGCGTGCGACATCACTGTTTCGGGGGGAATGGGGGTGTGTGTGACATCACTTCCCACTCCCAGAATGTCCACCCATCCCCCTGCCGGCAGGTGAAAGGGACCTATAAGTCCTAGTTGTGGCCTGTTCTGTTAGCTGGTTGCTGTTTTCAAAAAAACAGAGTTCTTATGACGACTACGGCCTCCAGCACTGACCCTTTCCCTCCCCAAAGATAGCGTCAGAATCTCTGACAGTGTCCTTCGTACAAGAAAGCTTGCATGAATCACTTAGTTGGAAAAAATATGCAATACTGGGCTGCGCTCTACAGCTACCTGTGCATATGGGTCTTATGGGTTAGTGCTGATCAATTTTATTCAGCAGACATCTAAGATAGAATCAGGTGGGTAGCCGTGTTGGTCTGAAGCGGCAGAACAAAGTCTGAGTCCAGCGGGGCACCTTTAAGATCAATCCTCTAAGTTACTTGTTGTTGTTCTACATTTTTAGGTGTATGGGGTCCGGGTGGAGATTGGCTACCCGGAGAGCATCCACCAAACAGAGGGAATGGATCACGAGTACCAAGAAGTGAGTTGATTGAACACTTGCCGTATGACTATATTCTTCTGTGGTCCATTGAGGGACAATTCTTCCAGTGGGGAGGATGCCTGCCCTTCCCTTGTAGCTCCATCCCACGCCACTCCAATAAAATTTGAATCCCGGATGTGACTCCCACTTCCTTGGAGCCTCTCACATGATCTTCTGGCGTCAAATGCTACAGAAGGATCGTGGGTTGGCATTGGCATTGACTTTCAGTTTGCAAGACCTGAGCGAGGCTGACAAGGATAGGATATTTCGGAGGTGTTTGATTCATAGGGTCACCATAAGCTGGGAGGGACTGGATGGCGCATCATACACACAAAACCTTTTCCATCCTGACTAGCAGGGCTATTTTTGGGCAGGAACGCACAGGGACGGAGTTCCGGCTGGCTCCCAAGTTGACCACGCCCAGCAGGGACTCATTAGCATAATAGGCCACACCCAACAGCAGAAACTCATTAGGATTGGCTACATTAGGAGTGTGTGGCCTAACATGCAAAGGAGTTCCTGCTACAAAAAAGCCCTGGGTTTTGACAACAAACAAGGTAAACAGAATAAGAAGCAAAAGGTAGGTGTGGCTGGATGACCACACTTCTGGTAACATGGGGGTGCGGCCTAATATGCTAATGAGCTATGCTCTCATGGGTGTGGCTGGATATGCTAATGAGTTTCTGTTGTTGGGTGTGGCCTATTATGCTAATCAGTTCCTGCTGGGCTTTTTCTACAAAAAAGCCCTGCTGACTAGTGTTGACAGGCCATGCCTAACAGCCAATGGGAGGGTGGTCAATGGGGACATGGGAGGTGTGGTGTCATGTTCACTGTGATGTCACTTTCCGGGAAAACCCGGAAGTGATGTAGGCTAGCTCTAGGAATTGCCAGACTGCCCTACATCACTTCTTGGTTTCCCCCAGAAAAGACATTGTGGTGCCTACACCACTGAGTTTTTAAGAAATATATATTCTTCTGCCATCGCTCGAAGCAGTGGTGGGCAAGGCAGCCCTCATTCAAACTCTTCTGTGGCCTCAGATAGTTTACAGTTGAGCTTGAAGTCTACTGTTATTAAAGCGAGAAAGCCATTAATTAAATGGTGATGCAGTAAACAGCTGGCAAAAAGCCTACCAAACAGCAACTACCAAATCACCCACCAAAACCTTGTTGTAGAAGGTGGGCTTTACAGAGCCAGATGTTGATGATTGGTAGACGCTGAGGAAGAAGCCGTAATAATGTTAAAAGAAGGGCAGAAGAACCATCACCTCCCCTAGATAGAATTTGGCAGAACTGAGGCCTAAGATCTTTGAAGTGGGCAGCCAAAGGCAAAATACATTCCTTGCCCAGGCCAAGAGCTCCTGTTGGAAGCATCAATCAATCTGCTGCTCCCTCCCTCCCTCCTTCCCTCCCCGAGCTCACTTTTTGCTTCTTTCTTCAGGTGGAAATTCTGGAAGACAGCTTTTTCCACAATGTGGTTGTCTGCCTGACATTTCTGAGGAAGAGGTTCTCGCAGAGACTTGTCACTCCCCGTCTGCAGGATAAGTATGTTTCACTTAGAGCGCAAAGGAGACTGAGTGGTATGGCAGAACACATTTCATTCTGTTGGCGAGGGGACACTGTGTCAATGGTTTGATTTGATGCATACTCTGAAACAGGGCTTGTATAGCCTAACTGTGGGGAGAACTGTAATTCATGCTTTCTATTGTTCAGCGCTTGTTGAAGCTTCCTCTTGTTTTTTCCCCTTTCTTCTACTGGGCTGCTGTCTACCTGTAAGCAACACAACCTGAAGGACTCTCTGCAACTGAAAGGCCAATAGTCAGTTAAAGTTTGTTTCAAACCTCTTGTTTCAGTAAACTCTATATAATGCGACTCTGCAGGTATGGAACTGGTTTGTTTCCCCAGCACTGCTTATGCATGCCGGGGATAAGCAAGATTTGCCCCATTGCATTAATCTTCATGGCTCATTCTGCATGCCCTGCTGTCTACTCCACATGCCTTTCGGTTTAACTTGACAGAATGACTGTGACTTTCCCCACACAAACGAGTCGCCTCGCTCCTGCATTTGTGTTCCTTTGCAGCTTTCTTTCATTTCCACAGAGATATATTCACTCTGAGAAGCAAAAACAAAGTTTCCTCCCTCTTGTGGCGCAGCATGGGAGTTCCCGGAAACGGGGAAGTCTGATGCTGCACTGCAAGAGAGGACAAACTTTGTTTTTGCACCTCGGACTGAAAATACAACTACAGAAATGAGTGAAAGAGGTGGAGGAACACAAATGCAGGAGCGGGGAGACCTGCTTGTGCAGAAAACATCTTTGATTAGCTTCACAACTATTGCATGCAGAATTTGTTGCAGTTCTCAATTTGCATCTTTCCCTCCCTCTCATGGGATACCGAAGCACCTATGTGCAAATCCATCACTAAAGTTCACCTGAGCAGGAGGACATGTCCTCTTTTGTCTTTGGAGAAAGAGGGAAAGAAAACAGAACAGGGAGGGAGTATCAACCTAAAGAGATAGAGGCGGAAATGGGGGAGGGCAGCGGGCAGCACTTAAATACCCACAGAAACAATTCTGCTTTTGGAAGGATTATCCATTTGAAATCAGATGAGAACAAAGAATCGCAGCAAAAGGAGTTTTGGTAACCACGGGGCAACAGTGTGCTGGAAGCGGTCTGAATGCAGATTCCTGTAAAACAAATGCAGAAACAAGGGAAAACCCTGACGCAAACCAGAAGTGAAAGCGGGAGAGAATGCAGAACAGAAGAATAAGATGTGATCAGAAAACAAGGCAAAATATAGTCAAAAAGGAGATTCAGGCTAATGCAACCAAAACTACGGAAGTGGAAGAGAAGATGCAACAAGTGGAAGAAAAACAGGATTCTTTGACTCAGCAATTTAGAAGATCAGAAACAATGATGGAGTTCAGAAGGATGCAAACCCATCTGAGATTCAGGGGCATTAAAGAGAAGGAAAATGAAGATATAAGAGATGAAATGATGAAGGCAATAACATCATATTTGGAAGAAGATGAAGGGACAATGGACTCTGATTTTGATTTGATTTACAGAGTGAACTCCAGAATTGCAGAAAAGAAAAATTTACCAAGAGATGTTATTGTACAATTTGTAACAAGAACAACTACAGAAGATATTTTTAAGAAACAATTCACCGTCCCTTTTGAAATGGAAGGAAACAAGATTATGGTGATGAGAGAACTCCCCCGAGCAGTACTGCAAGACAGAAAAAGGTATAAGCCTTTGGTGGATAAACTGAGGACTTTGAATATTAGGTACAGATGGGAAATTCCACAAGGCTTATCCTTTACTTACAAAGGTGGGAGAGTCCAGATCAGGTCGGTGACGGATTTTTATAAATTTAAGGCGGACAATTCTGACGTCTTTGGAGAACTTTAAATTAAGAATCTACAATGGATTACAAATTGTTGTCATGGAACGTGAATGGATTAAATTCACCTAACAAGAGGAAAAGAATCAATTATTGGATACAAAAACAAAATTGTAACTTGATATGCTTGCAAGAAACTCATATTAGAAAACTGGATGCCAAATATTTAAAAAATGTTAAATTGGGATTAGAATTTTATTCCTCGGCCTTAAATAAGAAAAAAGGTGTGGTGATATATGTGAAAAAGGATTTACAACCTAAAGAAATTTTCAAAGATTTGGAAGGAAGATATGTGGGTGTGGAAGTGATGATTCAACAGAAAAAGACACTGGTGGTCAATATATACGCACCCAATGGAGCAAAAGAAAAGTTCTTTAAGGACTTAACTGAACACCTACAAGGACAAACTTATGATCAAGTTATTTTGGCCGGAGACTTTAATGGAACTATAGATCGGCTGGATAGACAATCACAAAAAGGCAACGAAATTAGTGGAAAATTGCCAAAGAACTTTTTTGAACTAGTCAAACAGGAAAAACTAGAAGATGTGTGGAGGAAATGGAACCCAACGCAGAAAGATTTTACTTTTTATTCCAATAGACATTGCTCTTTTTCCAGAATTGATATGATTTGGATGTCAGAAGAATTGTCAATGAAAACACAAAAAATAGAAATCCTGCCTAGATGTAACTCGGATCACAACCCTGTTTTGTGGACCTCTACTGAAAGGAATAAATCCTTTCTTTGGAGAATAAATGAAGATTTGTTGGATAAAAAAGGTGTTATGGAAATGTTAAAAGAAGAAACAAAACAATATTTCCAACAAAATCTGAATAAAGAGACTTCAATACAGGTAGTGTGGGACGCTTACAAAGCTGTGATGAGAGGGATTCTCATCTCACAAAATGTGAAGCAAAAGAAGGAAAAACTTCAAAGGCAAGTGGAAGTATTGGAACAAATAGCCCAAAAAGAAAAAGAACTGAAGAAGAAACCGGGGAAAAAGAAGATTATTAGAGAACTACAGTTGCTGAAAGAACAGCTGAATGATTTTTTGAACCAAGAGCTTTATTGGAATTTAAAGAAGTTACAACAGAAATCTTTTGAAGGGGCGAATAAACCGGGGAAATATCTAGCTTGGCAACTCAAAGCAAGAAAAGAAAGAAGAATGATAACCAAAATTATAGAAGAAGGAAAAGAATTCGTTGACCCTAATGGTATAAAGAGAAGTTTCTTCAAGTATTATGCTAAATTGTTTCAAGCAAATAGAATTGATCTTGAGAAGATTGAAAGATATTTAGAAGAGATTCCACTATCCAAAATAAGCAAAGAGTTTAAAGATTTACTAAATGGGCCAATCCAAACAGAGGAAGTGAGGAAGGCAATTGAAGAAGCGAAGTTGGGGAAGGCGCCAGGGCCGGACGGATTTACCGCGAAGTTTTATAAAAAAATGAAAGAGGAACTTGTCCCGGCCCTGGAAGCTTTATCCAACGACATACGGATGTGCAAGAAAGTGCCAGACTCATGGAAAGAGGCAATCATTTCATTGATACCAAAGGAAGGCCAAGAACTAACGAATGTAAAGAACTACAGGCCAATTTCTCTCCTAAATAATGACTATAAGATCTTTGCAAAAATTATTGCAGAAAGAGTGAAAAACTACTTACAAACAGTGATTTCAGAAGATCAAGCGGGCTTTCTGCCAAAAAGACAAATTCGAGATAATGTAAGAATAGTAATGGACGCAGTGGAATACTATGAAAAGCACCCTGAAAAAGAGGTAACTTTTTTGTTTGTGGATGCGGAAAAAGCATTTGACAATCTTAATTGGAAGTTTATGTTACAGATGATGGAAAAAATTGATACGGGACAACAGTTCAGAAATTGTATTGAAGCTATCTATTCGGAACAAAGAGCTACACTGAATGTAAATAAAGAATTGACCGATAGCTTCAAGGTACAGAAAGGTACTCGGCAGGGTTGTCCCTTGTCACCGCTATTGTTCATTTGGGTGTTGGAGGTACTTTTACAAAAAATACAACAAGATCAAGAGATTAAGGGTTTGACACATAAAGGTTTTAAATATAAATACCGTGCTTTTGCAGATGACGTAATGTTTATTGTGGAAAACCCGACGGAAGAGTTACCGTTACTATTTCAAAAAATAAAAGATTTTGGAGAATTGGCAGGATTTTATGTAAACAAGAATAAAACGAAGCTTATTTGCAAAAATATGACGAAACAAAAACAAGTGGAACTACAAAATTTGGTACAATGTGAAGTGGTAAAGAAGACGAAATACTTAGGCATTGAGTTAACTGCAAAGAATATAGACTTATATAAGAACAATTATGAAAAACTATGGGCTAAGTTAACCCAAGACTTTAAGAAATGGGACAAAATGAACTTGTCACTGATGGGAAGAATTTCAGTTATAAAAATGAATGTCCTACCACGTTTGATGTTCCTGTTCCAAACAATACCAATACTTAGTAAGACAGATTTGCTGCAAAGGTGGCAACAAGAACTATCAAAGTTTGTTTGGGCAGGCAAGAAACCGAGAATTAAGATGAAAATACTTTGTGATGCCAAGGACAGAGGTGGACTACAGCTACCAAATCTCAGATTATATTATGAAGCGGTTTGTATGACCTGGTTGAAGCAATGGGTGAAATTAGAAAATGATAAGCTATTGGGGTTAGAAGGTCATGATTGTAGATTTGGTTGGCATGCATATTTATGGTATGACAAAACAAAAATGGATAGCTTTTTTAAGCATCATGTGGTAAGAAAAGCATTATTTGTGGTATGGATGAGATATAAAAAATATTTTGGTGATGTAAGGCCACTTTGGATTGTACCAGTGGAAGTGTTAACATCTTACTCAAGACGTAGAGACAAAGATTGGTTGCTGTATAAAGACATAATAAAAAAAGAGGGAACAGAATGGGTAATGAAAAAGCAGAATGAAATTGAATATGAATATGAATGGTTGAAATACATGCAGATCTCTGACCTTTTTAGGTCAGACAAAAGAAATTATGGTTTTAGAGAGGAAAAAAATGAAATGGAAAAGGTATGGGAGAGTGGAGGGGGAAAAGATATCTCTAAAATGTATAAAGTGTTGTTAAAATGGTATACAGAAGATGAGACTGTGAAAGAGCAAATGTTAAAATGGGCAATAAATATGAACAAGGAAATTGACATCTGGTACTTAATTACAACAGCGAGAATGATCTATGCACAATTTTGGAAGACTAAGAAAGTACCAGAAATTGAAGATTGGATACAAAAAGTTCTGTTCATGGCAGAAATGGATAAAATTACAAAGAAGTTGAATAATCAAGAAGACAACGTGTTTTTTCAAGAATGGAATGACTTTAAAATATATCTGGAAAAGAACTGGGATGTAAAACAAAACTTAATATGTTTAGATCAATATTAAGTCAAATGATGTTATCTTGAGGTTGGATGATAACAAATGATGTGTTAATGATATAATGAAATTTGTAAGAAGGGGGAGAAGCATTGCGGGAAGCCACTGGAGGGAGGGGAGGAAGGGAATGAGGTAAACAATGGACTGAATGATTTAATCTTATATGTTATGTTCCTAAGAAAATAAAAATTTGTTTACCAAAAAAAAAAAAAGAAAGAAAGAAAACAAGGCAAAATATGGGTGCAGAAAGGGCCTATGTTAGCCTTCTCCATCTTGGCAGCATGACAGCAAGACATACCTCTTGTATCTCTAACCATCTTAGCTAGTTAGACTAGATTAGAAGCCTATCTCTGCTCTATCCTGTCTAGAATGGAGTTCCTTAAATAAAAGGATTCCGTTTATAAAGATAAAAGGCTCTGTGTGTAACTTTGTTCCTGGACAGCATAGATTAACCAGATGGGCTCTGCCGCACTATGTGCCTTGAGCATTCTGCTAAATTAAATAAAATCCCATCAAATGGCAGCTTTGGAGGGTGGGCTGTATGGCGTTACATCCTCGTTGAGCTCCCTCCCCTCCCCAAAATCCACCCTCCTGAGACTTTGCCCTCAAATCTCCAAGAATTCCTCGTGCTGGAGTTGGCTACCCTAACTGGATCACCCAACAACTTGAACATCAGGAGCTGATGGTGCATCTGGGACAACCTCAGGTGATAGGCGAATTCTGTTTGTGCGGTTAGTTCGGTAGCGGTGGCTCATTCACACATGCAAATCATCTCAGGATCTTTCAGTTAACAACACGACAAACGTGCATTTGTGGACAAGTATTTAGTGCGACCGCTAAAGCCACACCCGCTGAGTAGGTGGAGAGCAGGGGGGAAACGAGGTAAAAAAATATTGGCCAGGGAATTCCTTCCTTTGCGATCATCGTTGTTTAAAAAATTTCCGTTCCAGTTGGGAAGTGGTCCCATGGTCCGCGCATTCGTATTACTCACTGAGACGCCATGCCGTTGTCTTCCCTGCGGGAATGTTCCGCCCCCCTTTCTTCCATCCCGAATTTCCCAGGTAAGCGAGGTAGCTAAGGCTGCCGGCACATTTATTACCTCTTCTCTACACTATACTACCAAAAAAAATTACAAAACACCATCCAAGCTGTTGGGCTAGAGAGGCTAACAGGGGGGAAATGTGCATGGACATTGTCAGCGATGATGCACCTGGTGACAGTGTTCCCTCTAAGCTGAGTTAGTGAGAGCCAGCTCACAGTTTTTTAGCCTCCGGCTCACACATTTTTGTCCTAGCTCAGAAAGGAGGGCTCCAGAGCAAACTCATGTATGCAGCAGCCACGTTGCTCGCTCACAACTTTAATGCCCATAGCTCACAAAGTAGAGTTTTTGCTCACAAGACTCCACAGCTTAGAGGGAACATTGCCTGGTGACCCAGCTTTCAACCCTCTAAAGACAGCACCCACTTGCTCTCACCTTAGCTAAAATATGGAACCAACATTCCACAGGGCAGTAAGCCATGACTCAGTTGTAGAGCATCTCCGCTTGGCACACAGAAGGTCCCAGGTTCAATCCATGTTATCTCCAGTTAAAGCAAACAGGTTGTAGGTGATTTGGAAGACCTCCGTCTAACACCTTGGAGAGGAGCTGCCACTCTGAGTAGACCATGCCTGAATCTGCATCTAGCATTTGCTCCCGCTGTCTTACTAAACCCACACTGGAACAGAAATTCCCATCTACATTGCATGCCACTTTCACTTTGATTGATTGTCAAATTTTACAGCAGCGTCCAGACTGCATGCTGCTTTCACTTTGTTTGATCTCTGGTTTTATGGTGGCCATCTGCATAGATTTACGGTCGTTTTATGGCTATTCACGGGTGACTCTGCAGTCAGTACGGCATTAACCTGGGGAAATTGAATGTGGTTTTGAGCCGCAACTTTTTCTGTCCCAGTGTGGGTTTGGTACAACAACAGAGCAAATACTAGATGCCGATTGGGCCCATGTTGACCTTGATGGACCAATGGTCTGAGTTGGTATAAGGCAGTTTCATGTGTTCACGTGGTCCTCTTGGAATGCTTTTTGTAGGCCTTCCTCAAAGATAATCAGGAATAACAATGATGTGATTCATAACAGGTCAGAAATGGGGAATTTGGGACTCTGTTCTCCTCCGCAAAGCCCATTGTGAAGACCCAAAAAGCATCTTGCAATTCTATCGTGTTTTTCCTTTCTCTGTTTCTTTAAAACCAGATCTTCCCAGGCAGGTTAAAAATTGGGGCAGAGGTAGATCAAGTGGAAGGTTTGCTTAACCATTTCTTCAATGAACTAAAAAAAAGAAATCGCCCTATTCAATTTGCTTTTTCACCCTCAGGGGGGAAGTGATGATGCCCCCCCTGTATCTTTTCCCAGCTGTTGAAAAAGCATTCTGAGAGGACTCTTTGGGCTGAAAAATAACCAGAAGAGAAAAGGTCGATCACCCTTTCTCCAGCCCTCTCTCTTTCCCGAAATGACCCCTAGTTGTACATGTTCCATGTACTTTGCCCCTCAGTGGTTGTCTCAGTTTGTAGCAGGGCTATTTTTGCACAGGAACGGAGTTCCGGCTGGCTCCTGAGTTGGCCACGCCCAGCAGGGACTCATTAGCATAATAGGCCACACCCAACAGCAGAAACTCATTAGGACTGGCTACATTATGGGTGTGTGGCCTAACATGCAAAGGAGTTCCTGCTACAAAAAAACCCCTGGGTTTCGACAACAAACAAGGTAAACAGAATAAGAAGCAAAAGGTGGGTGTGGCTGGATGAGCACACTTCTGGTAACACAGGGGTGTGGCCTCATATGCTAATGACCTGTGCTGTCAGGGGTGTGGCCTAATATGCTAATACGTTTCTGCTGTTGGGTGTGGCCAATTATGCTAATGAGTTCCTGCTGGGCTTTTTCTACAAAAAAAGCCCTGGGGTTTTCAAGAATCATGGGTGGAGGACACATGGAACTCCGTGTTCCATGTAGTTTGAGCCTAAAGTTGGGACCGCACACTCAGCAAGATTTGGCCAGCTGTGAATTGAAGCAGGAGAAGATCACCCATCGCTAATCCCAAATTTGCAGGTCCTAGAAACCATTAAGCCCTTGTGTGATCTGTTTTTTCAGTGCTATGAACTTTGGCGCAATGGGATTCTTCATGGCACATGAGCTGCTTCACTCCTTCTATGATTACGGTGTGTACTCCCTTAAAATGAAACAGAGTGTATAAATTTAAGAAAAAGGATGCCTAATGAGCTCTCAGTTGCCGTTTTGGGGGTTGCTAGGCAACCGCAACAATACTGTTGAGACTTCTAAGCCTTGGTGTCTGTAAAGCAAAGCCATGGAGGAGAGCAAGAGTGGACTTGGAGGCCAAGATGGCCTTGTCTTGTCCTTTGAGGGATGTGCTGCTCACCTGGTGGTGACCACCAGACACGTACTACCCATGAGGTTTGCCAAAGCCCCAGGGTGGGATTCCCATCCCCAGCTTCCATTGCCTGCTGCCACTTGGAGTGGGAGTGAGAGAAAACAACAACCAAGAAACCCAGACCAGGAGTGTGGCATGCAGTGCTACATCACTTCTAGTAAAAACCTGGAATTGACATAGGGTAGCATTAGGGAGCTTCTTTGAAAGAGGAAATAATATGGGAGGGTGAACACAGGGGAATATGAGGCCCCGGACACACGGGCCGGATAATGCGGGGGGGGGATGCCTATTTGCGCCATCGCAGTTTGATCCGCGATGATGCGTTCAGACGCGACGGCGGCTTCCTCCTTTGGCACCCGCGGCAAACAGGTCGATGGGGGAGAAAGCTGCGCGCCGGCGCGATCACACCGGGGGAATCCGCATGCAGCCCGTGGCAAACCATTTGCTAGTAGGTCATCCCAGGTACTTTTTAAATTGCGCATCTTCGGTGGGACGCCACGGGTTCACCACGGGAGCGCTACGCCTCCCAGATGTTCCGGTGTGATCGCGCCAGAAAACTCCGCGGGAGAATCGTGCCTTCAGCGTGGCAAATGCTCCGTGTGACCGGGGCCTGAGATACCATAGGTCCTTGCAGGTCCCCCACTTGTATTTCATAATAACAAACAATTAATATGTATCTAGTGCTTTTGTCTGTTCACAAATTGCTTCTAATAATCCATTTAGCATCCCCGCTTTGTTGAGCGTGAGTGTTATTATCCCCAAATTGCAATGGGGGAAGGCAGCTGAAGGAGACTGGCTTTCCAAGGGTCACTTGGTGGATTCATAGAACTTAAGCTGATTTCGCACTAGAGCTGCCTCGATGTTGCGCCACCATTTTCCCCGATACTATTGGTCAATTTCACACCCGAAGCTGCGGGGCTGCATTTTGACTCGCGGCTTCGCCCGATTTCCCCCGCAGTTTCGTAATCCTGTTTTTTGAGGATCACGAAACTGCGGAGGAAATCGGGTGAAGCCGCAGGTCAAATGCAACCCCGCGGCTTCGGGTGTGAAATTGACCAATATTATCAGTGCAAACGGTGGCGCAACATCGAGGCAGCTCTAGTGCGAAATCAGCCAGAGTCTGAGTCCAGTGGCACCTTTAAGACCAACGAAGTTTTATTCAAGGTATAAGTGTTCGTGTGCAAGCACACTGTATCTGAAGAAGTGTGCTTGTACACGAAAGCTTATACTTTGAATCAAACTTTGTTGGTCTTAAAGGTGCCACCGGTCTCAAACTTTGTTCTACTGCTTCAGAGCAACATGGCTACCCACCTGGATCTATCTTGGTGAACTCATGGCAGAGGTGGACACTCCACCAGCTCTGAGGCCAAGGGGGAAGCAGGGCCTGACTCATTCAATTTTCTCCTCTCCTCTTTCAGACATCATTTCTTTGACAGAATGGTGTCGCTGTGGCCCTTCGCATCTTATGTATTTTGTTGTGGTCAGTGAGATCACCCTCTGATGCTCACCTTCCTGGCTTTTCATGTTTTTCCCCCTAGTGTGGCCTGAGACCTGTTCCAACTGTGACATGCAAGCCCTGGCCCAAGGGACAGACTGCCTCGTGAAACAGTACGAGAGGTACTCCCTGAAAGGTCAGCACATCAACGGCTCTTTCACCCTTCTGGAGAACGCAGCGGACACAGGGGGACTTGCCATTGCTTACCAGGTATCCAGATCAGATCGACATCCATACCCGCCAGCCACTGCAGATCCTCTTCAAGCCTGTCTCGCAGCCACACTAGGCCTGCATGCCCCACATGTTCTTATAGGGTTGCCAACCCCCCCCCCCCGGGTTGCCAGGGGTCCCCCGTTTTTTGGGGGGTTCTACCTGCTGCCG